GTTCCAGCAACCAGTGTCTGGACTTTTCACATCTCTCTGCCAACAGGCAATAAAAAGACAATAGCATAGTTTTTCTAAGCAAATATAACTTTACAACAGACAATTTATATATAAATGTAGCATGACAAATGTGGCTATAAAATAAGAGTGAGAGATGGAGGTAAAGAGGAGGAGGTGGTTAGTTGGGAACTGGCCCTGGGTGTGCATATAAGCCTGATTTAGATTCTCTGTGGGCACATCTACATGTGCTATTAATACACTGTAAGCTTACTGCACAGTAAAATAAGGCACAATAAGCTTTCTCTGGGAGTGTGTTTATACATGTGCCTGTCAGAAGCAAATTTACTCCAGATGGGAGCAGTTCAGTGCAGGGCTACTACTGCCCTGCTCTGCCCTCATAGAGCAGCCAGGGGGAATTCCAGGTTCCCTTGGATGCCAGCCCCAGGCTGGCAGGGAGCACCAGGATCAGGCCAGGGCTCCAGATCAGCAGACTGGGGCGTGGGGCTAGGATACTATCCCCTCCCCTAAGCAGGTGCTTCTCAGCTGTGCCCTGATCTGCAGATCCTAGCATAGACCTGGGAAGCAACTGCTTGGGGGAGGGGAGTTTCCCAGCCCCCTGCTGCCTGGGCTGACCAGGAGAAATTTTATTCCAGTCAGCTGGCTACACATGCACTATTGCACAGTAGCTACTGCACAGTTAATCTACTAGCTGTATCTACAGGTAGTAGCCAGCCATGCAGTAGACTTATTTACTGTACAGTAAATGCTGCACACATGTAGATGGTGACACTTTACCATGCACTAGGTTAGTCTATTGTGCAATAAAGCAACTCACATAGATGTGCCCTGTGTAAAGCACTGCTGAAGCAGTAACAGTTGTAGAGTTTTGGTTCTCAAGTTGTTAAGTACTGCAGGAGTTAGCTAGTACAGCTCAGGGCTTTGCTCAGTAAACCAGCAGCAACTAAACCTGGAACAGGACTTTTCACTTATCTCCTTTGTAAACCCTCAATGACAGAGCTTTGTGGGGAACAGACATCCCATCTTCCTCTTGCCCTCATCTGCTCACGGACTGCATAATGTGCTCCATATACTGTAACATACAGCCTACCTATGGAGAGTGGAAGGGGGAACAGAGACCAACAACCCCATCTTTCAGATTAAACCAGCTCCTCTGGCAGTGTGAGGTCCTTGCCCTGAAAATCAGACAGGCCAAATTTATTAAACAGCACTCTGACATTAGTAATAGACTTCTTTGCATGCTGTCAGATAGGGCAGGGACAGCAGGCCTGCTAGAGAAAAAATGCAAGAGCCTTTGTGGAGGAGAAAAGGCACAGAAAATACTTCCTTGGGATGAGGGATCTAAAGTCCAGCCTTTCACAACATTTGCTCATTAACAAAATTACTTCTCACCTTAGTAAGAGGATGCTTGCTTTCTCCTGATGTTACAGCAGGATAGTAGCAGGTACTACACTGTGCCACCCACCTCACTGTGCCTGACCAAGACCCCACTTTGGGTGTCTCCCCTGAGGCGCCTACTTCCAGCCAACCCCCTTCTTGCAGCACACCTGCAAGCCTGGGGTAGTCGCTGCCACCACCTGGGCTCTGGTCTCTATTAGGGCTCTGTGCAGTGTGGGGTACACAGACCCTGCAGGCCTTGATTACTGGTAGTAATTCTGGGTGCTCCTTAAAGCCTGGAGCCACTCAGGATGTTTTCAGGTAGGACAGAATCAGATAATAATCAGCTGAGCTCTGCTAGGAGTGAAAAGGTCTGGCCCCCCCATCAAGCATTTACAGCTAGTGTGCTGTAACAAACAGATTTTATTAATCAGAGGGAAGGAGTACAAGATAGAAGAGTATGAAAAAATGCCTTGAGCAAAACAGAATGTTGGACCTTTTAACATGAGGCTAAAGATACATAACCCTAATTTACTGGCTAAATTTCAGATAAGCTACTTACGTATACATCAAGAGAATTCTGGAGGCTCATGCTTCTGTGTGCGTTTCCAAAATGCCTGCTGGAGGAAGCCTTCCAGACCAGGTGACCTGACCTTTAAATAACTTTTCTGACCTCATTGCCTGGTTCCAACCAGGAACAACCATCTTCTGAACACTGCTGATGTAGGCTAATCCTTCTAAAAGTCATCAGGAAGCCCTGGTGGTGTGACCAGTGTCACAAAACTGGTCCCACAGGTTTCTTGGTGGGAACCTTAAGACAAAGGATCTGGACACAGTAAGGGGGGATGGGAGGAAGCAAAGTATACAGCCCAAACAAGACACACAGCAAAACAGGGACAGACAGAGGGGATTTCCTCACAGATGTGACCTCTCAAAGTTACAAGTTTACCTCTGAGTAGGCTACGAGAGCTTCTCCTGTAGGGAAAACTTCATAGACCTGCTCAAAGTTGGGACTTTGGAATGAGCCAGAGGCCCTATGTGCCTACCCCACTTAAAATCTATGCCCTAGCAACATAAAGGAAAGCAGCAGGGCATAACTTATCCTCTCATGCTGCAGACAGTGGGCACTTATACACACACCTTTTTGTCCAGAACTAATGCGCACTGTGCTGCATTGCATGCAGTTGTATAAGTGGCGAAACATATGTCAGAGCACAGAAAATGGTGGTGCACTTTTGAATGAAAACATTTCTGATGTTTTAGTTCAAAAGTGCATCACCATTTTCTCAGTGCTGATGCGCATTTTGCTGCATATACAACTCCATGTGCTGCAGCGCCAGGCATTTTAAAAGTGCCCGGGGTTGCAGCACAAACGTGTACAAATGCCCAGTATGTTTGGCAGTAGCTCCTTGTCTTATTCAATGCCTGCCAGTCTTCTCTACTGCTGTGGTGAGAGGCAGAAGGAGCCTGCTTCTGTACTGCAGAAGCTAGAGGGCTATAGCCTGAATAGTTTAGTAATTCTTCCCTTTAGAAGAGGGAGAAAAGAATTAGATATTGAAGTGAAGGCACCACTGCACAAAAGCCAATAAAAATTAAAGTTCTAAAACAGGCTGGGAAAAGCTGAACTGGTGACTCAGCCTAATGCTAGACACAAAATTTGGTGGCCTAACCTTAACGCTGGAGTCTATAGCAACAATACTGTACTGCCTCTGAATGCTACAAGTGAGAAATATCACCTGTTAATGATAATACCAAACAGGGAGGGATGGTGCAGTAGAACATAGAAACTCTTATGCTTTCATGTAATATTTTGTATTATAATAAGGAAATGGTAATTATTAATAACCCCCTAATATAGTGATTTTCAACCTGTAGTCTAGGCTTGGAGGGTGAGAATTGTAGACTAGCTTGCAGGAAAAGGAAAAGATAGAAGTAGAAGCCTGGGGACTGGTACGGTAAGAACTGAAACAAACTACAGGCTTTTCCCTTCTTTCACAAACACAGGGAAGAAGAGGTTCTGAGCTTGGTTGCCTGAATGATATCCTGGATACCAAATGCCAAGGCAGCATAGCAAAATATCCTCTAAACCAATTACAGCTGAAAATCACACTGCTGTTTCACACCAAATATTGTTTACTAGGGGCCAGATCTGTGTACATGTTTGTGACTGTGGAACTAGGAACAATTCCTGTTGATACATAGCAAGTTATGATCATTGTGAAATTTAAGAGTTGATGCTAGGAAATTGTCTCACTGGGTTACAGAAACCCTGTAAGTATTGTAACAGATGGCCTTTAGTGTCCAGTTTCATAACAGGAACATTTTGGTGAGACATGAACAGGAGATGGATTTTTTTTCTTTGGTGATACTTGCATTTTCTCTTGCAAATGTGGTAGCATGTTTACTTTAGAGAGGCCTGCTGAATATGCCAGCACTAGAATGTTATACACATAGACTTTTTGCCTATTGCTTTTAATCTTACATATTTTCTTGAGTTTTGCATTGCCTTAAGAAACTCCATTTTGTATTGCTCTGTAGCTAGACATAAGTGTTCAACCTCTGTATGCTGTATGTGTGACAGAATGGGTGAGAGTGTGTCTGTGGAAAAGGAAAACATCAGCTGAAGAATACAGACAGATAAAAGACCAAACAAGAAGCATCCACCCCAGAACAGCGAGAGAACAATGGCAATCTACCTTCAAGGAAGAACACAGTGATAACACAGCAAAAGCCCAGAAAACTAGGTGAATTGGCAAAGCTATAAAAATGGGGTGAGACATATTGATTCTGGGTCTTGTTCTGCATGTCATCCTGGAGCATCAGTCCATCTGACGAGATGGACCAGCAGCAGCCCAGCTCCTACTCCTGATCAACTTGGATGGCCACTAAGTTGATCTGAGTACTGATAAGACTGGTGATGTATACCAGCACAAAACAGAAATTGGGGTACAAATGTGGTGTTTGTGTGTGTATTAAGCGCTTAATCAATAAATGCGGCATCTTGCCTTATCCTCCCTCATAAGATCTCACTTGCAATTTGAGCAATTGGCAATTTATGTAACACTAGAATCATTCAAATAACAGTGTCCAGTTAATGCAAAATTTCATTTTTTAGGGAATTATTTTTTAGGGAATTTGTTTTTTTCTGATTTTTCTGACCAAGCATTTTATTTGAAAAAAAATTCTTACAAACACTGAAACATGCCATCTCTAAAGTAAAACATGGCCCTCAGTCCCTGTAATGTTCATTGAACAGATGGATAGGCTTCTTGATCTTTTAAGTTTCCAACTCCATAGAAATAAGCTTTGAAGCTATGGTCTGATTTGCCATGCCAGAGTCATGAGTCCTCTTGGTGGATATGCCTTAGCACCGTGGACCATAGAGTCAACCAGGTGGGATGTTCCAAGGCTGAGGACTTGGAGATTTTTGTATAGCTCTGGAGTAGATGCTAAAGCAGAAGACCTAGAAGTACTCTGTTTTGTTCCTGAGGCAGTCTGCCAGAAATCTCAACATGGTTCCACAGAAATTTTGTCTTGGAATCCACAAATTAGTTTAGTCTGAGATGTTATGAACAAAACATTCAGGTGGAATAAACCAGTGATTATTAATGAAACTTTATTTCAGAAAATTCTGACAAGTTCTTTGAAAAAAACATCAAGCCACTTATTTAGGAGAGTGCATTTTTAGAAGTCTTTGCTGGGGTCTCTTGATCTAGCATATGACGATCCGATCATCAGCCGATGTAAATCAGTGTAGTTGCGTTGGTCAGTGGGGTCATTCTAATTTATACCATATTTTTCATTGGGGAAATATATCCTAATATTTCCCCAATATATTATACATGAGGGTTGAAAAGCCAACCTGCTCAGGATGATTGGAAACTTTGAGTTACTAGAATTAGGATAGGGTCACTCTACATTGTGCTAATAACAGCTAGAATGGAGGACACCAGAAAATGAGAAGTATGAAGTTAACTGTCATCAGGGGGAAGAAGAGAGACAAAGGAGGACCTAGTACTACAAGTGAGATCCGCCATAGGGGAGGAGGGGGAACAGATAGGAAGGGTAACGAAGAAAAAGGATACACAGGCACAAAACGATAGAAGAAAAAAATGAATGAAGCTTGGAAAGGAAAAGATGAAACCAAAGCAAGAGATACATATTTCATTTTCAAATTTATTAAATAGAAAGTTGCCTTTTTTATTTTTTACAATTCAATACAGTACACCAACTATACAAAACTGCTTTATTCCTTAAAAATGGTGGCGGTACATGGTGGGACAGATTTTCACCATGGTGAGTTAGCTTAGTTCTTGGACTTTTAAGGGGAGGACAAAGCTGTTCGAGTCCTATTCCTCTCCATTTCAGAATCTTTTGACAATAACATTAGTGACTTTTAAAAAGATATGCAATAGTTTTTAAAGGGTTTTCCACAACAGCATATAATTGTTTGAAATAAATAAAACAGCTTCGGCCACTGAAGCAGGGATTCTGGTAAGACTGGCTTACCAGGTTTAGAACTGACAGCTTGGTTTATACTACATAGTTTTGCCAGGAGAAGTCACATTCCCCTGGTAAAACCACAGGTAAACCCACATTTTCAGCTTCCCTACTGTGGCAGAATCTCTGTTCTGAGCAGGTTCTTGGAGATCAGAGGAATGCATGCTCTGGTCTGCAAGCAACAGAAGGTTTCTGTTGTCACAGGGAAGCTGCCAGAGACTGCATGTAGTGTCCTTGCTAACTATTGGGAGCTATGGCCTCCTTAACAGACTGTGCCTCCCAGGATACACTGCATACCTTGCTGGCAGCTGCTGCTGTAATGGAAGCCAGGCAGAGCCTATAAGCTGTGGGAGACAGAACATGGTCTGACGGCTTTCCTGTGCTGTAAGACAAACCCAGAATGTAATCTGATTTTGGTAATGATGAAAAACTCTGCTCATCTTATTGCACCAGCTCTGGAAAACATTGAGAAACCTATAGATAGGCACAACACAGTATATATTAATTACTCTATTAATCTATAGAAAAGAGTGGTAAACAAGAAATAATGATGATCTAGCAACTCAGACTGCCCTGAGCTGCAGTATCATTTAATTAAAAATAACTGTATTGTACTGATAAGTTCATGTACCATATAAAACATACACTACAAATATCTTGGCACTATTATAGATTTATAGAATTTTAAAACTCAAATACTAACTGGTATAAACCTGACAATAATGCAAATTGTCTAATTCTCCAGCTCTAATATAGGTAAAACTTCCATGAATCCTTAAGAGTTTTCCTGTGTTAAGACTGCAGAACAGGGAACGAAACAGATGCATCAGATATCTGCTAACAGCCACTAAAGACAAGATTAAGAGAAACATTAAATACATGTAGAATGGAAAACAGATTTCAAGGAATGCTTTGGTTAAAATACATTGCAGTATGAATATGACAAAACTCAGTACATGTTTTGTTACAACTCAGGGAATGAACATACAAATGTACCTACAAGTGTATTACAAGGCAAAAGGGTAGGGCTTTACCGTAAGTAAAAGCTAAACAGTAAGCTTGCAGCTGCAGTTCAGTTTTTACCTACTGCATCAACTTATCCCTCTTTCTTTGAGAACTATGTTTATCCATCTTTCTCTTTTTATGAGGTAAGCGCATATACATAGGGAGTTAGTGTAGAGGAGCTGACACATGGTAAAGCCCTGATGGCTTTTGCCCAATGATAAACTGTTCATATGTCCATGTACCTAATATTTTTGCAGTTCTGTGAAACTCAAAACACTAGTCTGAATTTGCTATGCTAGTTGCAACTGAAACCAGGTATAGCTTTTAGTAATAAATGTAAAAGAAACTATACATTTATGCAGTGTTCTTATGAAGACAAGTGCAACGTGCCTGATAGTCATGTAATACATTTATAGCTCATATTTAAATTGTAATGAAGGTTTTCACAGCTGTACCACTTAATGGAAAACCATTAAAGTGTTATGTAAACAAAGTCATTTTCACAAACTTGCATTAGTTTTTTATTCAAATCATATAATTCTTCTTTAACACATCTAGATACTGCTGTGTTGCCCTGGAAACTGGATCCTGATCTACATTTAGGTTTTTTGAAGATCCATCAGTAGATCCCACAGGAGAGACTCTTACAGCTCCAGCTTCGAGTTCAGCATTGGCTGAAAAAACAAAACCAAACAGCAAAAACAAATGATCTTGCATGCTTTGCATTATGCCATATGTTAATTCTATAGTATGTAAACTTTGTCTAATATCTACTGTAAGCTTTGTTCTGACTTCGGTGGGCATTTATATAGGGTCCTAAAAGCAAATATATATTTCAGATCAGAATAAGAGAAACATTATTAAAAAGTGACACAGGCAGGACATTCATAAAGGCTTGTAAATTATGCAAGTTATTTCCTGATAAGCAACAAGACAAAACAGTTAGTATTTCTAATCTAAGGCTGTTCAAATTGCGCCAAATGTAGATGCTCTAAGCACACAAAACTCTAATTAACCTAACATAATGCCAGCTGCTTACTCCAGTGATGAATATGGTCCAGTGAATACCCTTGTCCTGATACTTCTTACCTGCCTTACAAAATGAAGCATGTGGTCTTAAGGAGTACCTCCATTTTTTACAAAGACTTTGAGTCAGATTAAATTTTCCCCTTTAGGTACACAAATGAACTTTACCCAGTGCCAAAGTTGGAGTGATTTAGGCCACCTGTAATTGCTACTAGGTCATTTTCATGTAACAAGGTAGCAGCTGCTGCATACTCCTGAGCCTCCTCCTCCCCTGTTGAAGCTGCTACAAACATACAGGTCTCCCTTGTAGGCACCTAGTGTGATTTTACTGCACCCTCCTCAAATCCTTGAAAATCTATTAATGCATCCACTTTTTTTAACAACTACCATCTTGCCCTTAAGATGGAATCATAAAAAAGTACCAAGGAGGAGGACCACCCACCTTTTCAGGGACTCCAGCCAGGTGAAACAGAATTGCACTGATGTGCCAAAATCCACTAACACCCCTAATATATGCAACAATCTGGACCTTGGTATGTGCACATGCACGCAGGCACGCACACACAGAAGTTCCTCCTATAACCACAATAGCCTTTTCTCCGTAAAGATAACTCTGTGGTCATGTGAAAACATACAGTTTTTCCTGGAAGAGTCGCTGCTCTACCAGGAAAAATCACAAGTGTACAGAGGTTCAGGATATTTCTCCTAAAGCAAAAATGGTAACGCCAGGAGAAGTATAATCTAGGAACAACCAGAGTTAAAACACTCATAGGAAAGTTTCTTCTGAGACTGACTGTCTGTACATGTTTTCTTCTCAGACAAGTCACAGCACAGTCCTTCAGCATCCCGGGGTGCATGGCTCCCACTCTTCTCCCCATAGAGAGACTGTATCACTCGCTGGACTCAGCTGCTCCAGTCAAGTAGGGAGCAGAACACTCCCCTTCTCAATCCCACATTATGCTGCAAGGAGGCACAGGCTGACTCTGAGCAGTCTGGATCAGCCAACAAGAGCTGCCCTGTGCACTGCTGCCTGTCATCAGTGTATCTGTCATCAGGCAGACTGAGGGAGCCTGCAGAGCATGCTGAGATGTATGCACAAGCCCCACCCCCCTTCCCCAATTGTGAAGGATCAGCACTGCAAGCTCTCTGCTTTTCAAGGGCTCAGCATTCATATGTGTCTGGTAAGTTCAAGTGTGTCTGGGTAAGTTTTTCTACATAAGAACACACCTGGAAGAATTCTCCTAGACCATTTGAACATGTGTATGCAGTCTCTTTTAGAAACTGCATATCCCTGGCCTCTACCTTCACTGACCGAAGTCCAACCAACACAGAAAAAGGAACTGTGGACATATCTATACATGTGCTTTACTGAGGAGTTGACTAAGTAGCTCCACAAAGCATCACCATCTATATGTGCAGCACTATTAAACCGCAGTAAATTTATTAAGTCCACTGTAGGATAGTACTGCCTGATACAAGTACTATCCTATGGTAGAATTATTTAGTGCTCTACAACACGTGTGCAGATGATGACTGGGACTGGCTGGGGCACAAGGGTGCTCAAGTGCAGGGGGCTGCCTGCTGGCTAGCCCCACACTGTAGCGCCCTTGTGCCCCAGCCAGCCCCTCCACAGGATGTTGAGCCAAGGCAGAGCAACTCCAGGGCTGGCAGGCTGACCCCCCAGCCCCTGGCACACATGCAAATGCTATGCCTGAGAGCAATAAACTCCTATGCGAACTGCACTAGACTGTATTCAGGTGCATTAATAGCATGTGTAGGTGCACTCTGTCTGTACTAGGCAAATACTTACATGAAAAAGACACATAAAAAAATCCTGTGTTAGGGAAAGGAACCCCTAAAACAGGTAAATGGGGATTTCCACTTTTGGTTACAGAATGCTGGCACATGCTGGAATGATGAGACTGCTTTGAAATAGGTTCTGTCACTGTGAGGTAGTGGATGGATGAGGATGGTTGCCACACAAGAGAATAAATTACTCATTGGAGAACATGGCCAAAAACTGCATTACAGATTTCCAGCTAAGTATATGTTCTGTGCTACATATTACAAACACTTAAACAATGTTATGTTGATTAGGCAGGCATAAAAAGAAGTGATTATCAAGATTTCTCAATGAGCGATATAATTTGTACCTATCCAACATGCCACTTTATGTCTATAAATTAAAGCGAGGAGACCACTAAGGAACATTATATCTGACATGCACTATTATACTAGCAGAAAATACTAAATCACATGCAGTAATACTGAATGCAACATATGAGGGGAGGCGATTTTTAAAGCTCATTTATATCTTAAATCAGAATTTCCTATATTTTGATTGTTTATATTTTTCATTTAGCAAAACTGACTTGGGTTAAGCTAGCTTTCAAGGCAATTTATTTTGTACAGCATTTTGGAAAGCCAGCAGTTCTTGCCAAAAAAGAAGTTAGTAAAAACAACAACTGTATTTGGCACAACAGTTAACTACTCAATGGGTGCATTTACACAAGACATTTACTGCAGAGTAGACTAATTAGCTCAGCAGTAAAGTCTCAGCATTTACATGTGTGGCCCTATTAGACCACAGTAAACTAAAACATGCTGCTGTAGATTAGTACTTGCAATGCATGTGTAGATGCTGACAGGGCTGACTGGGACATGGGGAGGCTTCACTGCAGGAGCTGCCTGCTGGCTAGCCCTACATTCGAGCACGCTCTTGCCTCTGCCAGCCCCTCCACAGCATGTTGATCTGGGTTGGAGCAGCCCTGGGCAGGCAGGCTGACCCTATGGCCCCCCTCCCAGCTGGGCTGCTCCAATCTAGCTCAACGTGCCGTGGTTCCGGGCACATGTGTAAACATGGTGCCTAGGAGCAATAAACTCCAGTGCAAACTGCATTGGAGTCGATTCATTTCTATTAATTGCACATGTAGACACACATAATGTGATTTATGCTTTAGGATATCATTCAGTGTTAGTTAACAATCAATTTTTCTGAAGGGAAAAGAAAACCCTGCCACATGCTCTGATAGATTACCTTGGTCAAGTTCTTTACTGATATTTTTTTCCAGTTCCTGCTGCATCTGAAAGTACATTTTTAAAGATTTTAAAAGATTTTAGAAATTAATTCATAAAAAATCTAAATGTTTTAAAAACAAATATTAAACGTAACCAAAAGCAAAACCTCAAACAGAGTTCATTTTATTTTGAAGAAATTCTTGATGGTCTTAGGATACTGGTTACTGAACAATATCATCTGCATGTCAATATTGACTACATCATAAAACAATCTGATTCTATGTGATTCATAATTTAGCAGTTAACCACAATCAAATACACACAAGTAAATGAATAATGCACAGCTAAATCCTGTCTTCAGATATATGAGCAAAATCCTTACTAAATTCAGAAGTTAGGGTATATATTTGTTGAGAAAACACATAATCTACATCCTAATAAGGCTATCATTGTATAAGTCAGTTTTGCAAGATAAAGTCAAAATCTGTATAAAAAAACAAACCCCCCAAATTATGCTGAGCAATTTATCACTATCTTGGGGGAAGATTGCAATATTCGTCTCATTTTGTCAGCTTTCTACTGAGATGATTTTACATGCTATGTAGCTTACATTGGCTATAAACATCAGAAAAACTACATTCATCTCTCAAAAGATATTGGTTATAACCATGATTAATACTCATTGCAAGCTTTTCCTACACTGGAATCAGTCATTTTGTTGATTCACGGCTATAGTACATTACCAGTTATTTATAGGTATATTTTTGCAATGCCCAAAATATGTTTTCCATTAAAACAATCTATGACTTGAAGAATTTACAAATCTCAAAAGTTGACAGCCAGCATACCAAAAACCCACGTAACTTCTAAATGCATGTAATTAGCTAAAATACATTACTATTATAATTATCTTTTGCAAGTAACTAATAATTTTATGAATGACATGGGTTATTTACTCAATATAACAACAAATAATGGAATAGTTTAAATATTGTTTAATACACCTTTTTCTTCCACTTTTTAAAGTTAATTTACTCACCAGTAGAGTTGTTTAGAGGGTAGGAGGGGCTCCCTTGGTAAAAGAGACATTCTAAACATGGTTGGGGAAAAAAAGTGGAAGCAGAATAATTCCTTCCAGATAAAAAAGAATCTTGTTGGCACTCAGTGGCCATACTACAACCATTGGATATAATGCTGCAGCAAACTGATTAGAATGCATTTAAGTGCCCTTTGCTAGGCTACAGGGGTCATTTCAACTAAATTAAGTTGCATACCACTAAGGACAGCATCCGAATTGAGAGGAGGACAGCTTTGTTTAAAAATTCTACATCTTTAATGGCTGGCAAAGGGAAGGAGGGAGTTGGTCAAAGGTCCCTAAGCCCCACTTTATCTATAGGAGGAAACAATGGCAAAAAACCTGGGAAGATCACTGTTAAGAGTGATCAAGAACAAGAGCAATGGACCAAGAAGCAGGAATCAAACTACCAATCACAGAAAATAACTAATCAAGAGGGTAAAAATCCTGAAAAGAGATATTAAGGTACCAGGAAAGCCCCATCATTATCTGTTTTTGGAGTGTGAAAAACAGCTACATGGTCCACACAGATCACTGTGTGCCTGCACAGGTATGCAGGAGCTGCCCTGCTTTTCCTCTGTATTTTAAAGTCTTTGTTGAATTTCTCACCTAGATCTGAGAAAGAAAGAGCAGGCTGGAAGCAAATTGGATCAGACAACTGAAAAATTATAAGGCATAATATGATCATGATTATGCAGTCATGATCTACAGCCTGGGGGTAAGGGATGGTTGACACTTGCCCTTCTATCGAAAATAAGAGAACAGCCACTGTCTTGCTGAACATCTCTTCAGACAGAAAGATACTAATTCTCCTGCTAAGTGGACAATCCTTTGAAAAGGAGTCAGGGTTCTTTATCATTTTATTATGGAGTAGCTTCTGTAACTGAAGTTTTGGGGATGAGTCAGGGCCACTACTTGCAAGATTCCTGTGGATGATGCTGTGATGAGAAAATACTTTAAAGGCCAGCACAGCTGAGTCCCTACAATCTACAAATGAACTACTGTTACAACTAGTATCTTTCTAAACAAGGCAACAAATTAAAAAGTAGTATTTTCTATTTATTGTGAGTACTTCTGTAGGAAAGCCAAAGGTTAGGGCCAGGCTATGTAGATCAGGGGTAGGTAACGTTTTTTGGTGGAACGCTGAAAAAAATCACAATGTCTACCTTGAAAGGTGCCGGAGCGCGGGCATATCAGAAAACCAAAACGAGAGGGGAGGAGTACATAGCAGGACACACAAAGCAGGAGCAGGAGCACAAAGCAGCTTGTGGCCATCGGTGGTGCTGGGATGGGGCTGGGCCCCGAGCAGGGCTGGGGCTGGGCTGAAGCTGGGGCCGTGGGCTGCACGGGGATGAGGCCATGGGCAGCACGGGGCTGGGGCCAGGGCCCGGGTCATGGGCAGAACAGTGTTGGGGCCCAGGCTGTGGCTGGGGTCAGGGCCCACTGGCAGCACAGGCCTGGAGCCAGGGCCTGGGCTGTGGGCAGCGTGGAGCTAGGGCCCACTGACAGCACGGGGCTGGGGCTGGAGCTTGGCCCTAAGCTGTGGACAGTGCGGGGCTGGGGCAACGAGGGGCTGGAGCTCAGTGGCAGCCCGGGGCCAGGGCCGTTGGCAGCACTGGGATTGGGCCGGGTCCTGTGCAAGTCCATGGCCTCGGCCCTGCGTGGGCCCCAGCCCCATCCCAGTGCTGCTGATGGCCCGGTGTAGCGGCAGCACTGGGCTTGGGCGGGCGGAGGCGGTGCCCCTGCACAAGTCCATGGCCCCGGCCCTATCCCAGCACTGCTGATGGCCCCGGCCTCGCAGCAGCACTGCACTGAGGTGGGTGGAGGCAGTGGTGCCGGCTGGGGCTGGGCCCGCGCAGGGCTGGGGCTGTCGGCAGCACAGGGATGGGACTGGGGCCGTTGGCAGTGCCCGGATGGGGCCAGGGTCCATGCAGGTCCCCGGCCCCGCACGGGCCTTGGCCCCAGCCCCATCCCGCTAATGGCCCCAGCCCAGCAACGACACTGGGCTGGGGCGGGCAGCGGCAGTGGTGCTGGATGAGGCTGGGGCCGCCAGCAGCACGTGGCCACAGCTGCCTGCAGCACCGAGATGGGGCCAGGGCCCGTGCAGGTCCACAGCCCCGGCTCCATCCCAATGCTGGCGATTGCCCCGGCCTGGGGTCTGCCAGTGGCACGTGGCTGGCAGTGCAGGGCCGGGGCCAGGACCAGGGCCAGTGGTGGTGCTGGGCTAAGGCTGGAGCCAGGGGCTCTTACCTGGCTGGGGTTGGTGGCAGCGAAAGGCTGTTCCCTGGCAGCCACATGCTGCTTGATCTGGGCATGGCTCTTCCCACCCCTTGGGGCAGGAAGCAGTCTGAGTGCCAATGAAAACCATGCCGTGTGCCACCTTTGGCACGCGTGCCATAGGTTGCCGGCCCATGACGTAGATGAACTTGTCTTAGGTTAAAAATTAGTCTGGAGATTAAGAAATAGTTGAAGCTAGATTCTAATTCTCTATTTTATTCTTCATGCATCTATTCAATCTTTTGAGGTCCAAGACAATTAGAATTTTAGCCTTCCTATAAAAACATGAACAGAGCCATAGAAACTTTTGGTCCTGAAGGTTAGATTATTTTGCTTTGGCTCTAGAATATACATGGATATATTTAACAACATAATTCAGGACAGGTTATGGTCTACTGAAGTTGGGCAGTTGTTGAAGAAGGGATGTAGAGTAGTCTGGAATACCAAAGATTATCAACATTTTACTCTGTGCCAACCTTGGGCTCCATACAGATGTTTGTTTCTTCTGATAGAAAAATAGCCTAGGAAGTGGACTGTATAGACATTCCTCTCACTGAATGGCTGGAGAACTTCACACACAAGCTCTCCAGCCAGGGGTATTAGAAGGCTGCTCCCTGGGCCATCCCTATCCTTAACGGAGTTCATTACTTGACATCCTGTCCTCTTCCCATGCCTGGCAGACAGGCTGCCAAGTGACAGTTGGCAGCCACCACAGACAGTCTTGGGAAGGGTCCAACCCTGGAAGAATGCCCCCCATTCCACCAATCAGCTGTCTAGTAGGAGGGGGGCATTCCTGCATGGTGGGAACCCTCCCAGTTTTCCCCCTCTATAGAACAGCCACACTTGTTATACTCCACTGGCCTGACTTAGACAAATGCAGGGTTAGGTGGAGCACTCGGCTGTACAAGGGAAAGCTGGGGCACCAGAAGCCCAGCGTGAGAAGACTTTCCTCAAGCCCAGCTCTTGGCCCCTCCAGCTTTTAAAATTGCCATTCCTGCTACCCACCTGAGCGGCAGGGGCAGCAACAGGATGGGGCTGAGAGCAAGGCTTGTAAAGAGCCTTGGCATGCCCAGCTCCCAGATCCTCCAGCTTTTAATTTGCCACAAGGAGAAGTCACAGGGGCTGGGAGATGGGCTTGGGAGGCTTTTAAATTGCTGAACCTGTAGCTCAGCTGAGTGGTAGGCAGCTGTAGCGGGAAGCAGGTGGAGCCAAAAGTCAGGCTTACAATCCCCGGTCTTGGCTGCACTGGCTTTCCAATCACTACCCCGGCTACTCAGCTAAGAGACAGGTGGGGCAAAAGGAAGCAGGCAATGATCCCTGCATTTGGGTCTGGTGCCTGGGGGCTGGGCAGAGGGACTGGCATGGCAAAGCCCTGACCTACTTCTGGCCCTGGGAACTTGGGTGTGAGAAGCAGGTGAGAAACATTTGACAGCTGCTCCTCCTCTCCCCACTTGTTCTACACAACGAGGGGAGCAACTATCTCTTACACTTTACTGGTGACCTGACCTGAGGAAGGCATGGGAGCCTTTCCCCCAGCTCCACTCTCCCTGGCTATCAGGAGTTAATCCAGGGGAAAGGGTGATCTTGGGAAAAATTTAACCCTGGTTGTTCCCAGGTTATTTTTAACTTGGAGCAGCCATTCTTGCCCTGGCAGAAAAAGCTTGAATGTCTGTACACTTTTGTTTTCTATTAGAAAACAGCAATTCTCCTGGT